TGCTGCTGCTGCTGCTGTTATGTTGTTGTTGTTGTTGTTGTTGTTGTTGTTGTTGTTGTTGTTGTTGTTGTTGTTGTTGTTGTTGTTGTTGTTGTTGTTGTTGTTGCTGCTGCTGCTGCTGTTGCTGCTGCTGCTGCTGCTGCTGCTGTTGTTGTCCTCCCCAGAGAATACAAGGCTTGGCCCCTCCCAGCCTCGGATGTCCGCGCGGAGTCCTCGGGCTGCCGCTGGGCACCCCCTCCTGCAGGGCGCACGGGGGGCGAGGCCAGGGGGGTGGCGCCAGGGGAGGCGAGCGCCAGGGGGCTCCTCAGCGCCGACCCGGGAGAGATCCGCACAGACCCTCGGGAAAGTCGGCGTGGCCCGAACAGAGACCGCTTCGTTCCAGTCGTCGCCCCTCGTGATTTTTCAATTATATATACACATACAGACATACATATCAATATACATATATACAAATAATCAATCCTCTGCGAAACCTGCTCGGAGCGGAGCAGGTCCACGACCTACTCAGGTCGGACCAGTTAAACGACCTGTTTTGCCGATCGGCGCGGGCCCTCGCACCCGCCCCCCCATAGAGTGGATCCTGGCTGTCTATGGGGGCCTGTTTCGAGCGGGTGGAGGCCCCCCCCCCCAGAGGCAACACTCTTGCAAACGGTCGCATTGAGCAGAGGTCCGGGGCCAGAACCCGCCCTCCCCCCCCCTTTCCGCCCAATGTCGAAACAAAACGCTCACCTGGAAGGTCAGCGCGGCCCGAACAAAGATCCCCTCGTTCCTCTCGTCGTTCCTTACTTGGTGGCGCTGCGGTGACGGAACGCTCGCCGCTGCCGGTGGCCTCCGCGCGAGGCACCCCCGGAGCTCGGCCCGGCCCTGCGGGGGGGCAACGTTCCGAGAAGGGGATCGGCTGCATAATGGATTCACCGCGAAATTAAACTTGGTTTCCTCGCCGAATCTACAAACAGCCAATTTTGGGGAACATCGATTTTGCAGTCGACTCCCTACTCCAACGTTCGGGGCGGGGAGGCTGCATCGACTTTCAATCGCCCATTCATCGCCAACGGGGGCCTATGGCCCCACCCCGCCCAGGAGCGTGCGGTGTCGCTATCGGTGCCCTCATCGCCTCTCTATCGGCGATGTATCGCCGATTCCAGGGCGATGCTTCCCCCCCCGAGCCATTCCCTCCCGCGCGTGCCCCTGCAGTCCCCAGGCGTTGGACGTGGGCCAAGCGGAGCATCCTACGAGGCAACACAGCACGCGACGAAAGTCTCAGTGCGCCACGGGCAGCACGTGCTGCCGTTGATGTTGCCCAGGGCTGGACATAAACGCTGTGTTGTTTCGGCGGTTTTTCGTTTTGGCAGGGAGGTACAGGAAAACATGTAGAGCCAAACGAACAACAAAACGAACACAATACGAGAAACGACGTTTAGGCCCAGCCCTGAGCAGCAGGCGCCTCGTGTGCACTGAGCAGCGGGCACACCGGACGTTCATGATTTTTCAAGACCGCAGTCCCGACCCTCTCCGCGGGTTCCGCTGCTCATCCCGAGCGGGCAACCTGACGGTCCCAGGCCCGGGAAACAGCCTCCAGAGGCCGATGACGTCCCCAATCCGGCCGTCGCCGGCGACCCAGAACGGGTCGACGTTGAACGACCTGACGTTTTGGAAACGGCCTCATGTTCCAGGTCGAACGATCCCCGCGGTGTCAGGCCCCAACGCCGAAGCCAGCACGACACGATCCTGCAGTATTTGAGTGGGGGGTCGACTACAGAAATGACTTACCCCCGATTTGTTTTTTCGCCGAGTCTGCGACAACTGCGCAGAATGTTCCCTAGATGTACGGAGGATCCTGCTCAGACAATTGCGCAGAGTGTTCCCTAGATGTACGGAGGATTCTGCTTATTCCTTGGTAGATTCCACGGGCACCTCACGTTTGGGGTGAATCAATTCTGTAGTCGATCCCCTACTCGACGTATGGAGTTTCTCATTCCTCTTGCCACGATTCAGGAGGGGAGAGAAAACACACGGACACAAACAATCGTCATCCCCAGCAAGAGATGGGAAACTATGAACAGGTAAGGGGACAACGAAATTCCATTCAAACATGGAAAATATGGGTGAATCCTGGCGTCTGTGTCTGTTTGCATCGCGAACGATGCCCATCGCGTGCCGGAAACACCGGCCGAGCGGGGGGCCCTGGGTCCGAGCTCGCGCCAGGGAGGAGGAGGAGTAAAAGGAGGAGGAGGAGGAAGAAGAAAAGGAGGAGGAGGAGCAGGAGGAGGAGCAGGAGGAGCAGGAGGAGGAGCAGGAGGAGGAGGAGGAGCAGGAAGAGGAGGAGGAGGAGGAGCAGGAGGAGGAGGAGGAGGAGGAGGAGGAGGGGCAGGAGGAGGAGGAGGAGGAATCTGGGGACCTCTGTGTGCCCCTTGGCCCCTGTCCAGCGAGGGTCGTGCCTCGCCCGGGCCCGGCGACGCCCGCCCCCCGTCGCGCGCGCGCCGCGGCCGGCCCGGGGGAGGCTCGCCGGCCGGGCGCGAGTGCTGGCTCTCGGAGCTGGACCGGGTCCGGACGAGCGACCCCCGCCACGGCGGGCAGGCCGCCGGCGCCGGGGGGCCACGGCGGCGAAGCTCGGTATCGTTTATCCGACCCCCATCCGTCGAGCAGCGGCGAAGCGCCCTGGCTCGCCTATAGCCCACCGAAGAATGTTCTGAGAACCTCTTGTGGTCTCGACGAAGTGCTCTCAGACCAGTTTTAGGCGGAGATTGTCTTGTTTTGACACATCGGGGTTCAGTTCTAAGAACATTGCTGTTGTTCTTAGAGCATTTTTGGGTTCTACGAACATTTCGTGGTAGGACTATAGGACTGCCGGGACGGTCGGTCCCTGCTCCCCATCCTCATCCCCTTCGAGACACCCCCAAATTACCGCTCCAGTCGGGGATGCACCCCTCGAAGCCCGAAGGGGACAGCCTATGTCCCCAGCTAGGGGGGTAGATCGGCCAGAGGGGCCCAGGCCACGCCGCTGCCATGGGTATCGGATAAACGATACTCAGAAGCCTTCATTTTTGAGTCGGGCCTGTCCCTCTGCAGGAAGGATATTCAAACAGTTAAAACATAATATGGGGACGATTTTATGTCTCTTGTTGCGTATTTATGTTTTTTTTGTTGGGGGGGTATCTTATATTTTGCGTCCAAAATCCGCCTGTAGGGGGACGCCTCACCTAACTATGTTATGTTTCGGCGGCACAACCCAAATCCCCTCGCGCTGTGAACAAAAATCCCGACGGGAGGTTTTTTCTGTTTCTGTATATTTTCGGCCCCGGGGGCCCGGGCTGTGGGAACGTCAACCTCGGAATGGAAAACCGGTCCGGGGGACGGTCCAGAGTCCTCGGGGGGTCCAGGACGGCCCAAGATGGCCTCAAGGTGGCCCAAGATCGGCGGCGAGCGAGGGGTGGAAATGGGAAGGAACAGGCCCTCTGAGAAGGCGACTTCTCAGAGGCCCTCGCGCCTTCTGAGAAGTGCTTTAGTGTTTTCGGGGAAGGCTCAGGAAACCTCTCAGAAGGCCAGAGGACTTCCTGGCCTTCTGAGTATGCCTTCTCCTTCTCACTCCCCCCCTCGCTCGCTGTCGGCCTAGTTATACATCCACGAAGCTAAAACAATGACCGCTTCGAGTTCTGAAGGGGCTCGCTGTTCCTTAGGTCATTCCGTGGCTTTTCCTATAGATGTCTTTGTGCACGCAGGCGCTTTTGGGGGCCAAAAGGAGCCTCGTTCATCTGTCGCTTGTCTTCTCAGCAGCCCAAGTGTACATCTCCACTGCCCCCTGGCCGGACCCTTCCTGGGCCCAGAAGCTGTGCATACGCCCTCCTGGCCAAGCCAGGAGGGCGAGGCGTCTGCACCGCTGCCGGCTCAGGCTGGGCTCGGCCAGCCGGGAGCAGTGGAGTTGCTTTGTTTTCGTCGCCCTGCCGAGCCTTCTTTCTCGAGGCTGCTTCTCTTCGAAGGGCCCGGCGAGCATCCGGGCCATCGGGCCCGCCCGCCCGGCACAGGGCCCTCGCTGCACAGGGGCCCTACGGGGCCCCCAGACGCCCCCCCCCCCCAAAGAGGGCCCTCCGGGGCCCCCCCAGCGACGAGGGAGCCCCGAGAGGACCCGGAGGGGGCCCCGCGAATACTCCAAGATGGCTCCGAGGGTCCTCCAGGGAAGCCCCCGTCCGAGCCGCCGCAGTCAGCGACACAGATCTGCGGCGCCATCGGCGGCGGCGCCGTGCCCCCCCCCCCCCCCCGGGTTGTCGTCGCTTTTGCCATCCGGGGGGGCCGCTTTCGGGCCCCCGGGGCCCAGGGATGTAGCACTGGTTGCCCCCAGCGATCTAGGAGGTCTGTAAGCGAAGCCACCCAGACGACTCTTCGGCGCGACCTTTATAAGGTGCATTGCTTCTTGGGATCGGCTCGGACGTGTGCATGTGTCTCGGCGAGGACCAACGTGGAACATCCTGCATCATCGAGGAACAAAAACACGCACGACATCGGAACATGCACGTGGAACGGACGTCCGAGCGATGGCGAGACTTCTCCAGGAGGATGTGGAGTCTAGAGTTTAGCACCATCTCCAGTATCGGCGCTTTCCCCCACCAAGGCATGTCAGGATGGGGAAACCACAGACACAATTGATCGTCGATTCCCAGGAAAACGGAAGTGGGACGGAAAACGATAAACCAGAACATATCAGAAAATATAGGGAGTCATCCAGGCTTCTGAGGCTGGTGGCCGAGAGACTGCAACCTTGGGCCGAGATCCAGGATCGTTTTTTTCCGCGGTGACGGCAGCCCGCTTTGTTGGTGGAGGTTGTTGGTTTTCCGGGTCTGGCGACACAGTCGGCACCTATTAGGTCGATCCTGCCAAATCAAGGGTGCCCTGGGGTCCTGTGTCTCGCGACCCATGCCTCCTACATCCCTATGGCAATGTGGCCCTTGCAAGGGTCTTCTGGTGTGCTCTCGCGTGTCCTGCCCAAGCAAGTCCGACTCTACCCGGGACCCGGATTATCGGGCCCGCCCGCCCCTTTTCCCCCTTCCCCCCGGATAACCTGACCTCGTCGGTTGGCGCAGGTCCGAAGGGGGTACGCAGCACCGGTGCGCGCGGGCATACGCGGGGTCGCCCAAAAGTCGGGAGCGAAAGGAGGACGTACGGGTGCATGAATCCACGCTTGTTTCGAAAGTGCGCACTGCGCAAAGGTTCGTACCTCGAGGCTGGTCTCCCAGACGGGGGGGCCGTAAATTATGTGCGTGGCTGGGGGCATGCGTCCTTGTGTGGGCCCCCTACAGAGCGGGAAGGTTAGGTCATCGGTCGGCATCTCCTTCCCCCACCCACCGGATACATCGGGTCATCTCCGGAAAATGAAAACCATCTCTTCCATGAGGGAAATGCTGGAGGCCTCGTGCGGCGCGCAATATTTTGAAAGAGCGCCAGTGGATCACCTGGAAGACACAAAAGGGGGGGGGCTCCAGGGAACCCCCCCCCCCCCTCCCCCCCTTAAGGGGGGGGGGGGGTCCGAGAACCCCCCCCCCCCCCTCCCCCCCTTTAAGGGGGGGGGGGGGGGGTTCGAACCCCTCCCCCCCCCCCCCCCCTTTGAAAGGGAGGGGGGGTTCGGAACTCCTCCCCCCCCCCCCCCTTGAAGGGGGGGGGGGTTCGGACCCCTCTCCCCCCCCTCCCCCCCTTTCCGCAGGGGTCTGGTGCGAGCGAGCCGAGCGCGCAGACTGTTGGACGTAGGGGCCGTCGGGGGCGGGACTCTGAAAGCTTTGCGGGTGTGCGGGCGGGCCCCGCCTTTTCGGTTACGGTCTGCGCGCGAGGCGGTTTAGGGTTTAGGGTTTAGGGTTTAGGGTTTAGGGTTTAGGGTTTAGGGTTTAGGGTTTAGGGTTTAGGGTTTAGGGTTTTAGGGTTTAGGGTTTAGGGTTTAGGGTTTAGGGTTTAGGGTTTTTAGGGTTTAGGGTTTAGGGTTTAGGGTTTAGGGTTTAGGGTTTAGGGTTTAGGGTTTAGGGTTTAGGGTTTAGGGTTTAGGGTTTAGGGTTTAGGGTTTAGGGTTTAGGGTTTAGGGTTTAGGGTTTAGGGTTTAGGGTTTAGGGTTTAGGGTTTAGGGTTTAGGGTTTAGGGTTTAGGGTTTAGGGTTTAGGGTTTAGGGTTTAGGGTTTAGGGTTTAGGGTTTAGGGTTTAGGGTTTAGGGTTTAGGGTTTAGGGTTTAGGGTTTAGGGTTTAGGGTTTAGGGTTTAGGGTTTAGGGTTTAGGGTTTAGGGTTTAGGGTTTAGGGTTTAGGGTTTAGGGTTAGGGTTAGGGTTAGGGTTAGGGCTTAGGGTTAGGGTTAGGGTTAGGGTTTAGGGTTTAGGGTTAGGGTTAGGGTTTAGGGTTAGGGGTATGGTTTGTGTTGAGGGTTAAGGTTTAGGGTTAGGGTGAGGGTGAGGGTTCGGGTTAGGGTTCGGGTTTAGGGTTAAGGTTTAGGGTTCAGGGTTTAGGGTTAGGGTTAAGGTTTAGGGTTAGGTCATAGGGTTTAGGGTTACGGTTAAGGTTTAGGGTTAGGGTTAGGGCTAGAGTTTAGGGTTAGGGTTAGGGTTAAGGATTAGGGTGTAGGGGTTAGGGTTAGGGTTAGGGTTTAGGGTCAGGGTTTAGGGTGTAGGGTTTTGGGGGTTAGGGTTTAGGGTTAGGGTTAGGGTTTAGGGTTAGGGTTTAGAGTTTAGGGCTAGGGTTTAGGGTTTAGGGTCAGGGTTGGGGTTGAGGTTAGGGTTTAGGGTTAGGGTTAGCGTTTAGGGTTTAGGGTGAGGGGTAGGGTTGGGGTTAGGGTGTAGGGATAGGGTTGAGGGTTAGGGTTAAGGGTTCAGGTTTAGAGCTTAGGTTAGGGCTAGGCTTAGTGTTAGGGTTTGGGGTCAGGGTTAGGTCTACGGTTAGGGTTTAGGCTTCGGGTTAGGGATTAAGGATTAGGGTTCAGGGTTTGGGTTAGAGGTTAGGGTTCGGGGGGGTCGGGGCGGGGTGGTAGGGATGGGGTTCCGGAGCCGGGGCGCGAGCCGGGGAAAGGGGGGGGGGGGGGTTCGCCGACGACGGTTCGGGAAAGGGGGGAGGGGGGGGGGGGTTCGCCGACGACGGCTCGGGCAAGGGGGGGGGGGGGGGGGGGGGGGGGGGGGGGGGGTTCGCCGACAACGGCTCGGGTCAGGGGGGAGGAGGGTGGGGGGAGGGGGGGGGGGGGGGGGTTCGCCGACCACGGCTCGGCAAGGGGGGGGGGGGGGGGGGGGGTTCCGAACCCCCCCCCCCCTTTGGGTGATCCAGCGGCGCGCCCTCCAATATTTTAGCCTCCAGTCTACACGCCCGCTCCAGGAGACGTGGGTCGACGTTCGCGCGGCGATGCTCCGACTTAGGTCCGACGTGAATCCGACGTTGGGGGAGGGCACCTGATATTTTATGTGTTGTTTTTTTTCGCAACCAGGGGAAGGGTACCCTCGAATATTCTGCAGTTTGGCAGCTTTGTTCGTTCGTTCTGGTAAGGCTAGGGTTCCACGCCATGCCTTTCCGTGCTCGCTATGGCTTCGTAGTTAGGATTGGCAGTTATTGAGGTCGGGTGACTCATCGGACTGTACCCTCGGTGACCTTATATTTTTGTTTTTTTTTCTGGCGGAGGGGCTCATGCTCTTGTAGTCTGATCTTCTGTCGCTGTTCTGACTGCATCGGCGACCTTCTCGGCTTCATCCCAACGCATCAGGCTTACCTCCGGGCTCTATCTGGCCTGCTCTGGCTCACTGGCTAGCCAGTTCATCGGGCCTAGCCACCCTTGCTCGTTCTGACGAAGACCTCTCAGGACTTGCCTCCTAAAACCTACACACTGACAGCCCCAACCTGTCGGATGGGGAACAACTGAGCGAAGGAAGAAAACGGGGCCGACTGCGCGGACATTCGCGCGTAAGTTCCCTGCGTAAGGTCGCGCGTGAGCTTCCTTGATTCCAATGCCACCGCGTAAGGTCGCCATGTCATCGCACGCAAGACCCGTCGTCGCAGGTTCCTCGCCGGTCTCGGCGGTGCATCGCTGATTCATGTTCGAGGTCTCCTCACTGAGCTGGCCCCCCTCCCCCCCCAGACATCGTTAACCCTCAGTCGGCATCACCCAACAAACACTTATACTACATGTGCGTCCCCTCTTCCTTCCAGGGGCGGTGCGCGCTCAAAAACATTCTGGTCTATGCCCGGTCGGTGCCGTTTGCTGTTTGGCCACAGCGCTTGGGCAAGGATACACTTATATATGCATGTGCGTTTTATATACACATGTCTGTCTGTCTGTCTGTCTGTCTGTCTGTATGTTTGTATGTATGTATGTATGTATGTGTGTGTATTGTATAGGTATGTCTGTCTGTCTGTCTGTCTGCCTGCCTGTCTGCCTGTCTGTCTGTCTGTCTGTCTGTCATGTAAGTATGTATGTATGTATGTATGCGTGTATGTATGTATGTATGTATGTATGTATGTTGGGATGCATGCATGCATGCATGCATGCATGCATGCATGCATGCATGCATGCATGTATGTATGTATGTATGTATGTATGTATGTATGTATGTATGTATGTATGTATGTATGTATGTACGGTAGGTTTGCGTCGTGTCGACCAGCGGCGACCCCAGCGCGGGCGTTCAAGGTTGAACGCCGCCGGCGACCCAGACTCGATCGATGTTGAACGATCGGACGTTGCGGCAGCGGCCGATCGTTCAAGGTTGAACGATCCCTGCGGTGTCAAAAACCAACGTTGGGGTCGGCACGACACGAACCTGCCGTATGTATGTATGTATGTATGTATGTATGTATGTATGTATGTATGTATGTATGTATGTATGTATGTACGCACGTACGTATGTTTGTATGTATGTATGTATGTATGTATGTATGCATGTATGTATGTATGTATGTATGTATGTATGTATGTGTGTATGTATGTATGTATGTATGTATGCATGCATGCATGCATGTATGTATGTATGTATGTATGTATGCCTGTATATGTATGCATGTATGCTTGCATGCATGCATGCATGCATGTATGTATGCATGCATGTATGCATGTGTGGATGTATATAGCTATGTATACATCTATGTATATAGTGTATGGGTGTATGGATATATGTATGCATGTATGTATATGTGTACGCACGTACGTACGTAAAAATGTATGCATGTCTGTATGTATGTATGTATACATGTATATATGTATATATGTACGTACGTACGTATGCATGCATGCATGCACGCACGCATGCATGTTTGTATGTTTGTTTGTACGTATGTATGTATTTATGTATTTATGATGTATTTGTGTGAGTATGTCAGTTCCACGAACAGAGCTTGCCTCTGTAGGGGTCCTGGCGGATTCATATGTTAGATTAGCTGTGGCGCCGATTTCGGCGGCACGCCCGGCTGCCCGGGTGCCCGGGGGTGCCCGGGTGCCTGCGTGCCCGGGTGCCCGGGTGCCCGGTGCCCGGGCGCCCGGGCGCCACGGTGCCCGGGTGCTCAAGTGCCCGTGTGCTCAGGTGCGCCGTAGCCCTATAGCTCTGTAGTTTTATAGCCCTATAGCCCGATAGCCCGATAGCTCTATTAGCCCTAGAGCCCTATAGCCCTAATAGCCCTATCTAAAGCCCAATAGCCCTACAGCCCTAATAGCCCTAAAGCTTTATAGCCTCATAGCCCTATAACCCTAGGACCCTATAGCCCTACAGGTCTATAGCCCTATAGCCCTATAGCCTATAGCCCTACATAGCCCTGTAGCCGTATAGCCTCATAACATCTGCATATATGCATGCATATATGCATGCACGCATGTCTGTCTGTCGGTATGCATGTGTATGTGTATGTGTAGGTGTAAGTGTATGTGTATGTGTATGCGTACGTGTATGTCTAGTGCTATGTCTATGGCTAATCTATGCCTATGTATATGTATATGGAGGTGTATATGTATGTGCGTATGTGCATGCATATGTGTATGTATACATGCACGTATACGTATATGCATAGGTTTGTGTATACGTATTTGTGTATGTATGTATATGATAATACATCCATGTTGTCATGCATGCGTATATGTAACTGTAATTGTATACGTATATGTATATGTATATGTATATGTATATGTATATGTATATATATACGTACATGTATATCTACACACACATATATATATATGTGTGTCTATGTATATGTAGAAGGGTTTGTATACGTACATGTGTATGCATGTGCATATGAACATGTATATACATACATGCATCTGTCTATGCAATGCATGTGTGTGTATATATATATATATGATTAGGTATATGTATGTATTTATGTACATGTATATGTATATGTATATGGTCATGTCTGCTTATATGGATGTGTGCTTGCATGCTTATATATATACATATATATATATATAAATATATTCTCTTATTCTCTCATACGCACCTCTCCGAGGGAGTAGAGCTCAGAGGCGATTGTCCGCGATTTGTCTGGGCGTTTCGCTCGGGACATCCTCGAAATTCTGAAAATCGGTGGCACCTCTCACGCAGATCGTGACGTCAGGGTCCAAAAACACATGGGAATTTCAACATTTTAACATAAAACCTTCAAAAACACATGGTAATTTCAATTATTGTGACCCCGATTCTCAGGGAATGGGGGTTTCGCTTGAAAAATCCTTCCAAAATCGAGCCCCAGACCCCGCCTCGGAGCCTCCTGGGGGCCTCCTGGAACCTCCTGGGGCCTCCTGGCACCTCCTGGGGCTTCCTGAACCTTCTGGCACCCCAGACCCCGCCTCGGAGCCTCTGGGGGTCTCCTGAAACCTCCTGGGGCCTCCTGGGGCCTCCTGCGGCCTCCTGGAGCCTCTTGGGGCCTCCTGAAGCCTCGTGGGATCTCCTGGGGCCTCCTGAGGCCGCCTGGGGCTTCCTGGGGCCTCCTGGGGCTTCAGAACTACATGCACACAGAGACACAAATCACGCCCAACACATCACACGCTAGACAAACATAACACACACACACACACAACACCTACAACACACAAAAAGCACGCACCACACAAAGCATACATCACACACACACACGCACAACACTCACAATCCTGGGGCCTCCTGGAGCCTCTTCTGGTATCCAAGTCGGGCCTCCTGAGGCTTCCTGGGGGGTCCTGGTACACACATCGCAAGGTGTGGCAACCCCACTTGCGCTCGAGTGCGACTTCGATGTTGCATTTCACTCCTGCTTCAAACGCCCCTTCAGTTTTTTGTATGAGCCTGGGCACACACGTGCCACTTGTATACAAACGTATGTGTGTGCCATGGTCCGAACGTGCGCCTCCAAGGAGGACGCATAGTCTTTCCTGCGTCCCACTCAGTTGATTGTTTTCTTATTCGTTGCTATGCCGATCGGCTCCTTGCACCCCCTCTCCCCCCCCCCCCTGCAGTGAATCTTGGCTGTTTTCGGCGCCTGTTTGGAGCAGGTGGGGTCTCCCCCACCGGACGCACTGTTGCAAACAGTTGCGCTGAGCAGAGGTCCAGAGCCAGACCCCCCCCCCTCTCTCCCCCTTCCGCCCAATGTCGAAACGCCGAACAGGAAACCGTCCGCCACTGTGTCTCTCTGCGTCCCACTCCGCATCGTCGGAGATCCGGGCACGCCGCCGCCGCCGCCGGCATTTGCGGCCTCCCACCGCGCCCTCCGCCGCAGGGCTGGTGACCCCAGCGGGGGCGGGCAGCGCGGCTGCCGCGGCCTCCCTCCGGGGCTGCCCTTTGGCGCGAGCGCGGGCCGCCGCCCCCCTTCCCCTTCCCCTCAGAGGAGGCAAAGGCACCCACACAATGGAGGCCCATGCCGAGAAGCACCCTGCTTGCCTCCAGGGTGCCCCGGGTTTAGCAGGTTTCGATTGTTTTTTGCTGCGGAGAGCGTGACGGTCCCACAAAAAATCCAGGCAAGGTCCTTGGGTTCTTGGGTTGGGTTTCTTGTGGAAGGTCTCTTGTGATCGAGCTCCTACTGTACCCATACCGCTACCCTTCCCTCGTTTTCTCCTTTTTGGGCCTCCTGGGATGCCCTCGTCACCACCGCTGGATTCGCCTCGATCCTGGTCAGAGATACGAGGAGGAGGAGGAGGAGGAGGAGGAGGAGGAGGAGGAGGAACTGAAGGAGCTGACTATGCCAAGTCCGTCTGAGGACCTGCTCGGCACGCGGCCGTCGGGCCCGCACTCAGGCCTTCCGCGGCTCACGAAAACTCGTTTTCGCGAGCCGCCACCTTGCCGTTCTTCCCGCCCTCGCCGAACGGGTTCTCTGGTGCTGCCGGGCCCAGACAGCATGCGCCACCCACGGCCCTGCGCGACGTGCGCCACGCGCCTGGTCTGCCAGAGCACCTTGGCCTTGCAAACGAATTCACCATGCTTGAGCTCCAGCTTCGCTTCCCACATCTCGTCGAAAGCGCCAGAGCCCTATCCACAACAACTATGCTGGCAACCTGCATCAGCAACTCCTGCGCTACGAATTCAAACAGGACGGCTTTGCCTTATCCCGAGCTGCTAGAAAGCGGAGCCCAGGTCCTCGAAGCTGACGAACTCGAGTGCCGAACACGAGAACAACCGTCAGCTTCACGAAAATCGCGGAGTTCGCCAGGGTTCCCATCCTTGCTCGTCATCAGCTCAAGGGACTTCATCATGACGACCTTGCCGAAGATATCACGTTTTACAGCCTTCGCCATCATCGCCATGACCTCCACAATGACGATCTTGATCACCTTCTCCAGACGAGTTTTGATCATCACAATGCTTGCGAGAGTGCTTGAGGCCGTGCTGATGCCGCCCATCTTTACCTCGCCGCTTCCCCTTCCCGTGCCATTGCCACACCGCGCTGCGCCCCCCCCCCCACGTGCTCGCGCGGGGAGGAGGAGGAGGAGGAGGAGGAGGAGGAGGAGGAGGAGGGGGGAGGAGGAGGAGGAGGAGGAGGAGGGGAGGAGGAGGAGGAGGAGGAGGCGGAGGAGGAGGAGGGAGGAGGAGGAGGAGGAGGAGGAGGAGGATAGGAGGCGGAGGAGGAGGGGAGGAGGGGGGGGGAGGAGGAGGAGGAGGAGGAGGAGGCGGAGGAGGAGGAGGAGGAGGAGGAGGAGGAGGAGGAGGAGGAGAGGAGGAGGAGGAGTAGGAGGAGGAGGAGGAGGAGGAGGAGGAGGAGGAGGAGGAGGAGGAGGAGCGGAGGAGGAGGAGGAGGAGGAGGAGGAGGAGGAGGAGGAGGAGGAGGAGGAGGAGGAGGAGGAGGAGGAGGAGGAGGAGGAGGAGGAGGAGGAGGAGGAGGAGGAGGAGGAGGAGGAGGAGGAGGAGGAGGAGGAGAGGAGGAGGAGGAGGAGGGAGGAGGAGGAGGAGGGAGGAGGAGGAGGAGGAGGAGGAGGAGGAGGAGGAGGAGGAGGGGAGGAGGAGGAGGAGGAGGGAGGAGGAGGAGGAGTAGGAGGAGGAGGAGGAGGAGGAGGAGGAGGAGGAGGGAGGAGGAGGAGAGGAGGAGGAGGAGGAGGAGGAGGAGGAGGAGGAGGAGGAGGAGGAGGAGGAGGAGGAGGAGGAGAGGGAGGAGGAGGAGGAGGAGGAGGAGGAGAGAGGAGGAGGAGGAGGAGGAGGAGGAGGAGGAGGAGGAGGAGGAGGAGGAGGAGGAGGAGGAGGAGGAGGAGGAGGAGGAGGAGGAGGAGAGGAGGAGGAGGAGGAGGAGGAGGAGGAGGAGGAGGAGGAGGAGGAGGAGGAGGAGGAGAGGAGGAGGAGGAGGAGGAGGAGGAGGAGGAGGAGGAGGAGGAGGGAGGAGGAGGACGGAGGAGGAGGAGGAGGAGGAGGAGGAGGAGGAGGAGGAGGAGGAGGAGGAGGAGGAGGAGGAGGAGAAGTTGGAGGCGCAGTTTGAGGAGGAGTTGGAGGAGGAGGAGGAGGAGGAGGAGGCCCGAGGCTCCCGTGGCCAGACATGGCAGCCGCGGCGGGCGCCGCGGCAAGCTGCTCGGCGCCCCGTGGAAGGAGAAAAGCCGCGCGGCCCGGGCAGGGGCCAGGCGGAGGCAGTGGCGGAGCACAGGCAGGCGAGGGCTTGCCCCGTGTCCTGGACTCGAGCGTGCCCTCAGCCTGTCGTCGTCCTGGGACGGGATGGGAGGGCAGGCAGCGAAGGGTGGGGGAGGGCACGGCAGTGCAGGAGGTCGAGGAGGAGGGGTTGGAGGAGGAGGAGGAGGAGGATGAGGTTTAAGGTTTAGGGTTTAAGAAGAGCCGTGCCAAAACACCAATGCTTGGGATTTCGTCACCGCGATTCAATGTAACGGTTGCGCCTGGGCAGTCTTGAATCGTTCTAAATACACCTTTCCTAGTGCGTTAACCATGGGCGCCCGTGAACGTCTTGCGTTTTAACAAACAACAGAATGAGCGCGGCGCGATCTCCAGAATCACAGTTTGAAAAGGCCGCCCTCAATCTGGGCCCACCTTGCAGTTCTGAAATCGAATGCGCGCGGCGCTAAGGCGAACTCCACATTTTGAAGACGGCCCGCCGTCTCGGGCGACACACCCGATTGTTTGATTCCAGGGAAGGGGATGGAGGAGGAGGAGGAGGAGGAGGAGGAGGAGGAGGAGGAGGAGGAGGAGGAGGAGGAAGATGGGGAGGATGAGGCGGAGGAAGAGGAGGCGGAGACCCAATACAAGCCCAAAGCGCATCACTCGTCAACGATGCTGGAGTGATTCCTCCCCCCGAGCTCCGTCTTCACAGGTCCCTGCGAGGATCCATTGCCACTGAGGGAAATGCATCGTTGGGAGACACCTGCTTGTTGAAGATCCTGGAGCGTGTCCAAGCACCGTTCTCGGGATTCCAGCACCACGATTCAGTTGGACTTTTGTGTCATGACGATCCAGAACCGTGCCAGAACATGCCTGGGCCGCCAACACCGCGAAGCAACGTAGCTGTTGCGTCTTGGCGATACTGAGTCTTTCCAAATCAGTATTCCTGGTACGCGAGCCGTGGGAATCCGTGAGACTCTTGCAAATGTTTAAGACGAGTGTGCGCGGCACTAACGTGGGAGCCACATTTTGAATAAGGAGCCGCCGTGCACCCGTGATGCAAGAACGAGGAGGAGGACGAGGTGGAGTTCGAGGAGCGCGAGGGGGAAGAGGAGGACGAGGGGGACGAGGAGGACAAGGAGGAGGAGGAGGAGGAGGATGAGGAGGAGGAGGGGGAGGAGGACGACGACGACGATCGCGGCGGCGGCGGTTGCGGCGGCGACGGCGATGACGACGACGACGTCAACCCGTGGCGACGACGGCAACGATGCTGGCGACACTGGCGACGACGACGACGGCGACGACGACGACGCTGTCGACGACGACGACGACGGCGACGGCGACGACGACGATGACGACGACGACCCGCGGAAGCGGCGGCGGCGACGACGACGACGGCAACGACGCTGGCGACGCTGGCGACAACGACGTCGACGACGACGCCGCGCGGGCGTGCGCTCGCGGCGAGCTGGCAGGCCGCCGCTGGGGCAGCCCGCGGGCGTAAGCCTTCCTGCCCTCCCCGCTGCGGCGGCGGCAGCGCCCGCCGCGGCAGCGGCGCGCGCCGTCCCGCGGGGCCTCGTCGTCGTCGCCGTCGTCGCCGTCGTCGTCGCCGTCGCCCTCGTCGTCATCGTCGTCGTCGTCGCCGTCGTCGTCGTCGCCGTCGCCCTCGTCGTCGTCGTCGTCGTCGTCGTCGTCGTCGTCGTCGTCGTCGCCATCGTCGTTGCCAGCGTCGTCGTCGTCGTCGTCGTCGTCGCCGTCCACCGGCGCCGCCCGCCGACGCCGCCGCCGCTGCGGGTTGGGAGTCGGCGCTCGATGCCCGAGCATCGAGGCTTTGAGCGTCGGTCGCAGGGCGGCCAAGAGGGGGGTGATGACAAGGGGGGGGGCTACCATGGTCTTGGCATCGCCCGGGCGTGTGCAATTGTTTCCTCGGCGCAGACCATCCGGCGCCGCCGCCGCCGCCGTCCACCGGGGCCCGAGGTCCGAGCACGAGTGCTCGGGCATCGGCTCGTCTCGATGCGTGGCCCGATCTTCTCCACGCCGACGTCGCGAATGCACTGCCGGCGTCGATGCATCGTGAGCTTCCGACCCCATCTGCTCGGACACCAGTTGGGAGGCCTCTAGCCTCCATCGGCTTCCCTGGAGTGCCCTCAGGAGCGTCCGTCAGGAGCCTCCCTCGGGAGCACTCCTCCCGCGAGCCTCCTTGGGGGGTCTCCGCCGGGGAACTCCTTCGGGAGCCTCCGTCAGGAGCCTCCCTCAGCACTCTGAAGGACGCCTCGGCCGTTTGTTTCTGTCAGGACGGCTCGGTCCGATCGAGACGGTTACGGAAATAATGTACGAAGACCGACCAGTTTTCCTGTTCGTTTTGAACCGGAATCGCTGTCAGTGTCGCCGCGGACCGCCTGCCCAACCGCGGCCGCTGCCGGTTTTGGGCAACGTTTGCTGTTGGGCTTCGTGGCGACTTTTTCCGTACCCATTCTGCGCGTCCACATGGGTGGCGGTGTGTTTGCGCCGCCGTTTCATTGGCCTGAATACACACGCACACACCTCCCTGTCTCTCTATGGCTGGCATCGCCTCGTTTCGGTTGAGAGGAGGAGGAGGAGGAGGAGGAGGAGGAGGAGGAGGAGGAGGAGGAGGAGGAGGAGGAGGAGGAGGAGGATCTTCTGGATTTCTCGCGTTTGTGAGGGGCACGCCCGTGAGGCCAGACTCGCCTCATGCTCGCCGCTCAGGGACAAGGGTCGGCGGCGAGCGAGAGGGGGAGGTGAGAAGGAGAATGTTTTCTCAGAATAGGCGGCGGGACTTCTCAGGAGCCCCTGCGCCCTCTGAGAAGTTTTGCTGTGTCTTCGGGGAAGGCTTACAACAAATTTCTCGGAAGGCCGGGGGACTTCTTGGCCTTCTGAGAAGGCCTGCTCCTTCTCATTTCCCCCCGGGCGCGCCGCCTAAAGGGGTTAAGCTCCCCGAGCATTTTCTTTGGGTGGAGGGCAAAGAGTGAAATCTGAAATGCCGTTTCGACTGGTTTTCGAGGCTCGAATCTGCAAAGGGTGAATCACAAGACGGATTGCTTCTCGAGGTGCAGAAGCCCATATGGATTTCACCCTGAGCCCTCCACCCTGAGAAAATGCTCAGAGCTCGACTCTGGCGCAGGACTACCTCCAGGTCGCCCCAGCACTGTCCGAGAAGGGGGGATGGCGGCCTCTATGGGGTGCCCCCAGACAGGGGGCCAGGGCCGCGCGCGGGGAAGCTCCGGGCGGCCACGGAGGAGGAGGATGGGGAGGAGGAGGAGGAGGAGGGAGGAGGAGGAGGAGGGGGAGGGGGAGGAGGAGGAGGAGGAGGAGGAGGAGGAGGAGGAGGAGGAGGAGGAGGAGGAGGAGGGGGAGGTGGAGGAGGACCAGTGTAAACCCAGGACTCATCAACGATGTTGGAGTGAACCCTCCCTCCCAGCTTTCACCTCATAGGCCCCTGCAACGGTTCACTTCCACTGAGGGAACTACCTCGTTGGAAGTCAACCGTTTGAAGACCCTGAAGCACGCCAAAACACTGTTCTCGGGATTCCAACGCCACGGATCAACTAGACTTCTGCGTCTTGACGATCCTGAATCGGGCCAGAACGCCATTCCTGGGACTTCAACGCCGCGAACCAACCTACCTTTTGCACCCTCTAACCCCGAATCCTTCCAAAACCATTTCTGGTACGCTGATCATGGGAGTCCGTGGAACTCTTGCAGTTTTTGTTTAACAGATGACGAATGTGCGCGGCGCTAAGACGCGAGCCACATTTTGAAAGGGAACCGCCCTCAATCCGTGAAGCTCTTGTTGCAACTTCTTCATACGAATGTGCGTGGCCCATGAGGCGAGAGCCACATTTTGAACACGATACGCCGTCAATCCGCGAAATTTCTTCAATTAATGAAAGAATGTGCGCGGCGCCAAGGCGAGAGTCACATTTTGAAAACGACCCGCCCTCCATCTCTGAAATTTTTGTCATTTTGAAGCTTCAGGGTTATACATGGTGAGAGTCTCAGGCGAAACGCCCGGCCCGCCCTAAAAGCCGGCCTCGGGGTGGGACAGGGAGAAGTTCAGATTGAAAAGGACTGGAGGTGGAGGAGGAGGAGGAGGAGGAGGAGGAGGAGGAGCAGGAGGAGGAGGAGGAGGAGGAGGAGGAGGAGGAGGAGGAGGAGTCTCCCCGTACATGGGGAGGATCGAGGGTCGCAGGGAAAGGCGCTGTTTTGCTGCAGACTCGGGCACGTTTAAAGGTAGGTTCATGCGGCGATGGCGCGCCGGCGGCGCCGGCTAAGGCGTTCAAGGTTGAATTCTGCGACGCGGCAGCACCGAGGGACACGGTGACGCCACTGGACCCAGGCCGCGCTCGGTTCAAAGTTGAACGATCGTCGCGGTGTCAAAGACCTTTGAGCGCGCCGACTCCGCAGGGGCCTATCGTACGTGCGTGGAGGGGGGATGGCGGGGGGGCGGCGCGGCGAAGAAAGCTGCACTTCACGCAAGTCGGGACTTACTTGCACGCCTTTCTGGGTCCAGCGCCGTTTGGAAGGGCGGCGGAGGGGGGGGGGGAATGCCATGCAAGTAAACTTGTTGGAGTCTGAAGTAGAACGCCCTCAAAGGGGTCCCAAAGGGGCCCAACAGGGACCCAACGGGGGCCCCCAGGGGACCTCAAGGTTCACGAAAGGGGCACCTTTCTCCCCCCTCCCTCTTCATTGCCCCCGCCATGAAGCAAGGCCGAGTCGGACGGGGCTGGGACGATGACAACTCCGTTCGAGAGCGGTCCGAGACGCTCTCAGAGCGTTCCGGAACGCTCCGAGCAGGCCGCGGCGCCCGAGGCATCCTCCGGAGCCGCCGGATCACAGAGCTTCTCGAGTGATCCTCGTCCAGTCTTATCCCAGAAGCAGGCAGACGGCGACGGACGCTGGACGCTGGCCAGCCCCCGTGCGGATCCTCTGGCGCCCCAGGGGGGGGCCCACGGAGCCCCCGCGTGGG